TTTTTTTTTTTTTTTTTGAGACGGAATTTCGCTCTTGTTACCCAGGCTGGCGTGCAATGGCGCGATCTCGGCTCACCGCAACCTCCGCCTCCTGGGTTCAGGCAATTCTCCTGCCTCAGCCTCCTGAGTAGCTGGGATTACAGGCACGTGCCACCATGCCCAGCTAATTTTTTGTATTTTTAGTAGAGACGGGGTTTCACCATGTTGACCAGGATTGTCTCGATCTCTTGACCTCGTGATCCACCCGTCTCGGCCTCCCAAAGTGCTGGGATTACAGGCTTGAGCCACCGCGCCTGGCCCAGAGCTGTTGTTTTAAAGGAGACGCTGTGCTCAGATCTATGTAAAGTTCGCAATAATTAGTTCAAAAATAGCCAGGCATAGTGGCTCATGCCTATAAGCCCACCACTTTGGGAGGCCAAGGCGGGCAGATCACTTGAGCTCAGGATTTTGAGATGAGACAAGCCTGGGAAACATGGTAAAACTCCGTCTCTACCAAAAAAAATATTAGTTGGGCATGGTGGCACACACCTGTGGTCCCAGCTAATCAGGAGGCTGAGGTGGGAGGATCAACTGAGTGCAGAAGGTCAAGGCTGCAGTGAGCCATGATCGCCCCACTGCCACTGCACTCCAGAGCCTGGGTGACAAAGTGAGATCCTGTCAAAAGAAAAGAAAAGAAAAGAAAAAAAAAAACTGCAGATTTATTAATGAGGCCCTACCAATCATCTATGTGTAGTCAGCTGAGCCAGGCTCAGGTCCTTGCAGGACTTTGGAAAAACTGTTAGCCTTTAAATCACCAAACTTCAGATTTACAGGCCTTTCTCTACTTGAATCCTATCTTGTATTTTTACTTTTTACCTCCAACTCCACCCCTGGCACAGGTCTGGCATATAAGATTTGATGGCTGCCGGACGAGGTGGCTCACGCCTATAATCCCAGCACTTTGGGAGGCCGAGGCGGGTGGATCACGAGGTCAAAAGATCGAGACCATCCTGGTCAACATGGTGAAACCCCGTCTCTACTAAAAATACAAAAATTAGCTGGGCATGGTGGCGCACGCCTGTAGTCCCAGCTACTCGGGAGACTGAAGTTGCGGTTGCGGTGAGCCGAGATCATGCCATTGCACTCCAGCCTGGGTAACGAGCGAAACTCCGTCTCAAAAAAAAAAAAAAAAAAAAAAGATTTGATGGCTGAAACAGTAAAGGAGCAGAAACAATGGCGCTGCCTGGACTTTTTTCTGTGCTAATAGTCCCAATTTATATTGTTTCCTAGTCATCCTGTAAGCATGAGCAACATTTTTGTAGTTGTTTATTTAAGGACTCTACTTATTATCAAAATATGTTTCTATATATGTTTATTTATCTATAGTTGTCCCTCAATATCTTCAGGGAACTGGTTCCAGGATTCCCTATACAGACACACCAAAATCTGCAGATGCTAAAATCCCTATGTAAAATGGCATGCTATTTGCATATAACCTATGCATATCCTCCCATATACTTAGGTACTTGAGGTCAGTAGTTCAAGATCAGCTTGGACAACATGGTGAAACCTTGTCTCTACTAAAAATGCAAAAATAAGCTGGACACAGCGGTGCATGCCTGTAATCCCAGCTACTCAGGAGGCTGAGGCAGGAGAATCACTTGAACCCAGGAGGTGGAGATGACAGTGAGCTGCGATTGTGCCATTGCACTCCAGCCTGGGCGACAGAGTGAGACTCCGTCTCAAAAAAAAAATTCCTGCTGGTGAGGGCTCAGAAGGAAGTAAGGAGCATGCTACTGGAAACACAGGAAAGGAGGTCCTCAAATAGAGGGAGAAACTTAGCTGAATTGTATCTACAGTTATGAGGAAAGCAGAACTTGTAAACAATGAACTTGGATATTACCTGAGGAAGTTTTCTGGTTTCTTACTGCTGCTTATGGCAAAATGCAAAAGAAAAGAGAGAAATTGAGGGAAGAACTATCAAGCCAAAAGGAACCAGTAATTAATTTGGGAAATTCTCAGCCTTCCATATAGCAAAAGATACTAAAATTAGGTGATTCACTGTCAAGGAATGTGTGCTCTGGACAAAAAGCAAAGGGTGCAGTTGCACAACCTTTTTCTAGTGCCTCAGAAGACTCAAAAGATCAGAATATTCATTCATATTGAGAGCTCTTTGAAGAGACTAGGCAAATGGCACAACCATCTCAGCAGAAACCAGAAATAGAGATGAGATTATCCCATCTCTGTCAGTGGAGGAGCCTCCTGTTTGTCTAATGGAATGAATTCCCATGACACACAAAGGAGACTCACAAGGGTCTTGAGAATTTTTTTTTTTTTTTTTTGAGACGGAGTTTCGCTCCTGTTACCCAGGCTGGAGTGCAATGGCGTGATCTCGGCTCACCGCAACATCCGTCTCCTGGGTTTAGGCAATTCTCCTGCCTCAGCCTCCTGGGTAGCTGGGATTACAGGCACGCGCCACCATGCCCAGCTAATTTTTTTTATTTTTAGTAGAGACAGGGTTTCACCATGTTGACCAGGATGGTCTCGATCTCTTGACCTCGTGATCCACCCACCTCGGCCTCCCAAAGTGCTGGGATTACAGGCTTGAGCCACCGCGCCCGGCCGGGTCTTGAGAATTTTATACCAGCAGAAACACTGCCAGCTTGGACTGTGAGAAAAAGGACAAAGCATAAGAAAAGCCTTGAGCCTAAGGATATCCTCAGGTGAAGGTGATGAGATGTAGATGAGATTTTACACCATGACACCCACCCCAATAAAGATTTTACAAAAGTATCAACGGGCTGATACTTTGGGTAATTTGGAATAGAATAAATGCATTTTATATATTCAATGGATGTGAATCTTTGGGGGCCAGAAGCCAGAATATTATAGTACCCTCCCAAAGATGTATATTTTCTAATCCCCCAAACCTGTGCACATGGCAAAAGGACCTTATAGATGTGACTAAATTATAACATCAATAGTAAACTAACACAGCTGTTGATTCCTTGAGGCAAGACAAAAAAAATCTGAATGGATCCTGGAGCATTCTGTTCTTAGCAGAAACAAGGATGTGACAATTTGAGCATAAAATAATTTATAAATGACCATGAATTCATAATTTTGCTAAATTAACAACTATATGGGCCGGGGCCAGGGGCTCATGCATATAATCCCAGAACTTTGGGAGGCCGAGATGGGTGGATCACCTGAGGCCAGGAGTTCAAGACCAGCCTGGCCAACATGGTGAATCCCCATCTCTATTAAAAGTATAAAAATTAGCCAGGCATGGTGGCAGGCACCTGTAATCCCAGCTACTTGGGAGGCTGAGGTAGGAGAATCACTTGAACCTGGGAGGTGGAGGTTGCACAGTGAGCCAAGAACGTGCCATTGCACTCTATCCTGGGCGACAAGAGCAAGACTCCATCTAAAAAAAAAAAACAACAAAAAAAAAAACAGACCTGAACACCACCTATGGACTAATGTTAAAAAATAATATTCTAATAACCAGTTAGCTATAGTCAGATACCACCAATTAAATCGAGGGTCTAACATTGGAGCCAATGAGTCATAATGATACATGTTGGGCAGAGACTAGAGATTTTTATGAACACTTTGTTTCTGGGAAAAAGGGCTTTAAAATGTGTTTGAAAGAGATCAAGACATCCATCATGTACTAATGTACTAAGGTATACTGTTATGAAAAGGGGATTCAGCCCCACTTCTAGCAGCTCAAGTTTCAAATACCTCTGGGCAACAAGCTTCTATGTCCCAAACTAGGGTCCTAGCAGCCAAACAACCAGAAACTACCACACCGATGATCTGGGTAGAATGAGATAGCATTCTACCCAGCACTTTGGGAGGCCCAGGCAGGACTGCTTGAGCTCAGGAGTTTGAGACCAGCCTGGGCAACAGAGCAAAATTCTGCCTTGAAATATATATATAAAATAGGCCAGGCACGATGGCTCATGCCTGTAATCCCAGCACTTTGGGAGGCTGAGGCAGCCAAATCACTTGACGGTATGAGTTCCAAACCAGACCAACATGGTGAACCCCATCTCTACTAAAAACACAGAAACGGCCGAGTGCAGTGGCTCATGTCTGTAATCCTAGCACTTTGGGAGGCCAAAGCAGGTGGCTCACCCGAGTTCAGGAGGTCAAGATCAATCTGGACAATATGGTGAAACCCTGCCTCCACTAAAAATACAAAAATTAGCTAGGTGTGGTGGCACACGCCTGCAATCCCAGCGACTTGGGAGGCTGAGGTGGGAAAATTGCTTGAACCCAGGAGGTGGAGGCTGCAGTGAGCTGAAATAGCACCACTGCACTCCAGCCTGGGTAACAGAGTGAGACTCCATCTCGGAAAAAAAAAAAAAAAAAAAATTAGCCAGGCTTGGTAGTGGGTGCCTGTAATCCCAGCTACTGGGGAGGCTGAGGCTGGAGAATTGCTTGAATACGGGAGGGAGAGGTTGTAGTGAGCCAAGATCATGCCAATCCATTCTAGCCTGGGCAACAGAGCAAGACTCTGTCTCAAAAAATAAAAAGAAAGAAAAATATATATAAAATAAAGCATTTTCTCTTCAGCCTAATAAGTATTAACACTAAAGTATGAAAATGTAATCTAAAATGGAAATCCTTAGGAAGATGTATGATTGAAACTCCATAAAGGTACAAGAAAAACTTGGCGCAGTGGCTCACACCTGTAATCCCAGCACTTTGGAAGGCTGAAGCAGGTGGATCACCTGAAGTCAGGAGTTCAAGACCAGCCTGACCAACATGATGAAACCCTGTCTCTAAAAAAAAAAAAAGAAAAAGAAAAACCTTACTTATAGGATGCATAACCTCTATATGCAGGATGTTTTATTTCAAACTTTCAAAGCCAAATTAAATTCCTAGTCACTTTAAATTGTAAACAAATTTAGAATCAAGATGCCCCTCAAAAAAAAAATTTTTTTTTGAGATGGAGTCTCACTTTGTTGCCCAGGAAGGAGTGCAGTGGCACAATCTCTGCTAACTACAACCTCCACCTCCCAGGTTCAAGTGATTCTCCTGCCTCAGCCTCCCAAGTAGCTAGGACTATACTACCTGTTGGGCTCATTTTATATTTTTAGTAGAAATGGGATTTTACCATGTTGGCCAGGCTGGTCTGGAAATCCTGACCTCAAGTGATATACCTGCCTGGGCCGCCCAAAGTGCTGGGATTACAGGTGTGAGCCACTGTGACTGGTCATCCCTTAAAATTTTAAATGCCCACCCACAAAACTGATTTTCAAACTATTGCTCAGGTTTTTAAAATTATGCACTAGGCCGGATGTGGTGGTGGCTCATGCCTGTAGTCCCAACACTTTGGGAGGCAGAGGCAGGTGGATTGCTTGAAGCCAGGATTCGAGACCAGCCTGGCTAACATGGTGATACCCCATCTCTACTAAAAATACAAATTAGCTGGGCATGGTGGCATACGCCTGTAATCGCAGCTACTCAGGAGGCTGAGGCAGGACAAACGCTTGAACCTGGGAGGCAGAGCTTGCAATGAGCTGAGATCAGGCCACTGCATTCCAGCCTGGGCGACAGTGAGACTTTGTCTCAAAAATAAATAAAAATTATGCACTTAACAAAGTTTAAAGTAATAGACTACTCCCTTCATCCACCAAAGCCCTGGGGGCATTAAAGAGTCTACCCAGTTAAGGGGAGCCTCCTATAGGGGTATAGGCGTAGCCTCTTCCCCAGTTCCCGACACCACCCCTCTATTTCCTAGCTGACCAGCTTCACTCATCTATAACACCATCATCTTGCTTGCCAAGGCCCTTGAGTTAGTGGCCATGTTTAAACATGTCCCTGAATTAAACCAGGCCTATTCTTTCACTTTGGGAAAGTGAAAGAGTACTAAGCCAGCTTTTAGAAATTACACACATATTTGCCAAATATGCTGAGGTACTCCTCTCATATGGCATGAGAAAAAACTGCAAGAACCTGGTGGCACTATAGGAAGAGTTTCAGTAAAAATAGTAGTAGAAAAGAGTAAAAGTAGAACCACCATATGACCCAGCAATTCCACTACTGGGTACATAGCCACAAAAAAGAAATCAATGTAAAAAAGTTATCTGCAGTCCCATGTTTACTGTAGCACTGTTAACAGCTGACATACACAACCAACCTAAGTGCCCATCAGTAGATGAACGGCTAAAGAAAAATATATACATACACCCAAAACCTAAAATGCAATAAAATAAATAAATGGGAAAAAAAAAAAAAAGAAAATATATACATACACAATGTAAAGACAGGGTTTCGCCATGTTGGCTAGGCTGGTCTTAAACTCCTGACCTCAGGTGATCCACCTGCCTCAGCCTCCCAAAGGGCTTGGATTACAGGTGTGAGCCACCATATATGGCCAGAAGTTACTTTCACTTTACAGATAAGAAAACTAGTTTAGAGGTATTCACTCAGCTTCCATTCTAAGACAACTACTGAGTTGGTGAAGACAAAATTCAAATAAGGTCTGACACCAGATCCTTTATTTACATGATGCCATGCGCTCTCAAAAATGAGCAAGGCTCCGCTGCTCAGACCAGAAGGGGCTTGGGGGCTGAGCTACAGCAGTATCAAGACTTTGGGAAAGTGAGAGGACTAGGCCAGCTTTTAGAAATTACACACATTAGCCAGGCACCATGGCTCACACCTGTAATCCCAGCACTTTAGGAGGCTGAGGCAGGTGGATCACCTGAGGTCAGAAGTTTGAGACCAGCCTGGTCAACATGGCAAAACCCCATCTCTACTAAAAAATACAAAAATTAGCCAGGCATGGTGGTGTGTGCCTGTAATCCCAGCTAGTAGCGGGGGCTGAGGCAGGAGTACTGCTTGAACCTGGGAGGCAGAGGTTGCAGTGAGCCAAGATGATGCCACTGTACTCCAACCTGGGCAACAGTGAGACTGTCTCAAAAATAAAAATAAAAATAATAAATTACACATTAATTCCTGGGAGTTTTCTCCCCTGGGCTTGCATTTTAAAGGATTTAGAATTCTTCCAATTGTTCCCCATGACTGAATTCATCCAGGTATCTATCATCCATGGCTCTCAACCCATAAAAACCATTTGGTGCAAGATTAATGGGGAACTTCATGATGAATGGACAAAACTGCAATGGCCAAACCCACTGATGATACTTATGATCACCAAAAGTTTTTAAAACCTGACATTTTGTACCTCCTGATATGATGCAACAGGAAGCACACTGCATCTCCTATGATATATTCTTGTCTAAAAGAAAGAAAAAGCGGTCGGGTGCAGCGGCTCACGCCTGTAATCCTAACACTCTGAGAAGCCGAAGCAGGCAGATCATTTGAGGTCCAGGATTCGAGACCAGCCTGGCCAACATGGGGAAACCCCATCTCTACTAAAAATACAAAAATTAGCTGGGCATACTGTTTGGCCCTGGGAGGTGGACATTGCAGTGAGCTGAGATTACACCAGCACGGCACTCCAGCCTTGGTGACCAACTGAGATTCCAATGCAAAAAAAAAAAGAAAGAAAATTAGCCAGGAGGGGTGGCAAGATGCCTATAATCCCAGCTAGTTGGGAAACCGAAGCAGGAGAATCACTTGGGAGTCAAGAGGTTTCGATGAGCTGAGATAGTGCTACTGCACTCCAACCTGGGCAACAGGGTGAGACTCTTGTCTCAAAAAAAAAAAAAAAAAGAAAAAGAAAAGAACCTATATATACATATATAGGTTCACATATATGTAAAATTAACCTGAATCTACCACTTTACAAAAACGATGGGGGCTAAAAATCATGTGAAACGTATCACAATGATACAATCAGCCAAATACAGGTCATAAGATCAATCCCAGGTTTTCTCCAGTAAAGACAGGAAACTGTTAAGAGACTTGGACACTTAAGAGATATTACCAAAAGCATGTATAGAGAGCATTTGGATCCTGATACAAAAAAAAAGTTAGAAAATTTTTTTCATCAAGTGAAGACAATTAAACACAGACCAAGTTCTTCGTGCTACTCAAGAATTATTGCGCCGGGCGCGGGGGCTCACACCTGTAATCCCAGCACTTTGGGAGGGCGAGGAGGGTGGATCATGAGGTCAAGAGATCGAGACCGTCCTGGTCAACATGGTGAAACCCTGTCTCTACTAAAAATACAAAAATTAGCTGGGCGTGGTGGTGCACGCCTATAGTCCCAGCTACTCAGAAGGCTGAAGCTGGAGAACTGCTTGAATCCGGGAGGCAGAGGTTGCGGTGAGCCGAGATGGCGCCATTGCACTTCAACCTGGGCAAGAAGAGCAAAACTATCCCCCCCCCCCAAAAAAAAAAAAAAAAAAAGAATTAAGGCTGGACATGGTAGCTCTTGCCTACAATTCCAGCACTTTGGAAGGCCAAAGCAGGAGGATCACTACAGTAGTTCGAGGCCAGCCCAGGCAACACAGCAAGACCTCATCTCTCTATTTTTTAGGGGGTGGAGATGCGGGCAGTCTCACTCCATCCCCCAGGCTGGAGGGCAGTGGCCCAATCTTGGCTCACTGCAACCTCCACTTCCCAGGTTCAAGCGATTCTCTGCCTCAGCCTCCCGAGTAGCTGGGATTACAGGCATCTGCCACCACGCCAGGCTAATGTTTGTATTTTTAGTAGAGACAGGGTTTCACCATGTTGGCCAGGCTGGTCTCAAACTCCTGACCTCAGGTGATCCAACCACTTTGGCCTCCCAAAGTGCTGGGATCATAGGCATGAGCCACCATGCCCACTGCAAGACCTCATCTCTACAAAAAATTTAAAAATTAGCCAGGCTTGGTGGCATATGCCTGTAGTCCCAGCTACTAGGGAGGCTAAAGTGGGAGGATCTCTTGAGACGAGGAGTTGAAGGTTAAGTGAGCTATGGTTGAGTCACTGCACTCCAGCCAGCCCGGGTGCCAGAGCAAGACTGTCCAAAAAAAAAAAAAAAAAAGGCAGTAACTTTAAGCTTAACCTAGTAAGTTAGCCTCTAGACTAGGAAATAGATATACAGAGAGAAACAAGTTAAATGATACCATAAGGAAACAACCAGTAAACAGGACATTTGGCCAGGTGCGGTGGCTTATGCCTGTAATCCCAGCAATCCCAGCACTTTGGGAGGCCAAGGCAGGAGACTGACAGTTCAAGAACAACCTGACCAACATGGAGAAACCTCGTCTCTACTGAAAATACAAAAATTGGCCGGG